CATGTCGCAGTGCCCTGATTGGCGTGAAGCACCAGTGGTAGGTGGTATTGTGACAGAAAGAGATAGTCAATTCGAGTGTAGGAGTTATGTGGGTGAGAGTAGAAGGTATAATCCCTCTCGTCCGGGTGCATTGCCCTCCAGCAGTCCACCATTTTTTCTTTTGTCAGTAAGTTCCTAATTGCCTGAAGGTGTTGTGCGGGGATGTGTGAGTGTCCCAGTGAGGAGTCCCATTTAGGGTCCAGAGCTATATTTAAGTCTCCCCCCAAAATCAACACGCCCTCTTTGAAGCTCCTAAGGGTGCGAAGCATCCGGGCTATGAATTGATACTGCCTTTGATTTGGGACATAAATGTTAGCGAGAGTGTATTGTGTGCCCGCTATCTCCCCCTTAACGAAGGTATAACGTCCTTCCGGGTCTGTCAGCACTCCAGTCTCTTTAAACGGGATGCGTTTGTGGAGGAGAATCGCTGTGCCCCTGGACTTCCCCCCCTGAAAATCGCTGTAGTAACCCACTGGGTAGTGTTGGTTTGTCAGTGTGGGCCTGGACCCTTCTCTGAAGTGTGTCTCCTGTAGATGCACTATGGATGCTTTATGGGCTAGGAATTCTCTCATGGCTCCCGATCGTTTTTCAGGTTTGTTTAGGCCCCTAGCGTTGAGAGAAAGGACCGTGATGGGAGCTGGGGCAATTGACTTGGGCGGCATCGTTTTGTCAAATGTGTGTGTAATCTGTCGCGTCTGTCAAGCAGTCGAGGGTTAGGTTGGGGGGGTAGGGAAGCGTGGGGTAACCAGTGAAGGGAAATTTACGGGCTGTGAAGCCCAGTCCCTGTTTCGGTATGGAGTCGCTACGTGTAGCGATATCGGATATGAGCGACGGAGGGCAGTATTTCTCCCGCCCGCCTGGGGACAAGGGGAGTACCGCTCACCTATATCTTGTCGCCTAGTCCGGTAGGGTGGTCAAGGGAGTCCAAGAATTCCCAAGTGGGCGGAGCCCAGAGGACCAAGTGCGCTCGCAGTTCGGTCGTCGCTGACCACTGTGATCTCTCGGGACTCTACTCAGTCAGGATCTTCCGTCTCCCCGGCTGACGGCTCGGTCTATCTAAATTGTAGCTCAAGTGTTAACCTCACCTAAGAACAACATCGTTAGCTTAAACATATGTGAAAATCATAACATAAACATGGTACAACATTACCCTCATGTATCCACTCTGTGCAGGTCGGTTGTTGACCTGTCTCCCCCCCCCCCTCGCGACCTCCCCCACCCCCTCTGACTCGGGAAAGCTTTTCAACAAACATTTGAACCGTATCAAATATTGTGGCGAAAAAAAAAAAAAAAGGGGGGGAGTTTCATATTTGGCTATAATACGCATTTGCGTTAACGTTTACGCAGTTGGTTGGACAAAGCAAACATTAAACTGTATCAGTCGTGTGCGGTGTAACCCCTCTCCCCCCCTGCCCCTAGGAGTCAGAGCCTCTCGTATGGCCTGTGTCCCCCCGTCTCTCGACTACACCCCTACCCTCCAGCCCCCAAATTCCATCAATACTTGCTGTATGAAGGGGCAAGATGGAGTCCACATCTAGGCATTGCGCCCGGGGTTCATCGTTGTTCCCACAGATCCGGGGCTGATATGCCTGTATTGTTCGGTAGTGGTGGGTGCAAGGGGAGAGAGAGAGAAAAAAAAAAAAAGGGGAAAAGGGGGGAAAAGTCTAAATATTCAGAGCTTCTGTCTTGTCGCTGGAGTCGGCATTACTGTCTTCTGCGGTAAAGGAGGCCAAAGCGGGGAGGGATCCACGGTCCTCAGTTAGGCGTCCCTGCCGGTCTAATCGTCTGAGTGCGAGGGGTTCTTATTCTTTGGGGTCGGGGGCCTGTGCCTTGCTGCCTGGGGCCAGAGGCGTAGAAGCTTAATGGGTTCGGCCACGTGATGGTCTCCGGCGATAGGTGTAGGTCTCTCTGGAGCGCCAGGACGTCTTCTTCCCCTGCAACCATAAAGGGGCCGCCGGGCGTTGCCACTTGTAGGCCCGTAGGGAAGCACCAGCGGTACCTGATGTTAGCTGCCTGCAGTTGTCTTGTAAGGGGCCTCATCGCTCTCCTGTATGTCAGCGTAGCCGGGGAGAGATCTGGGAACAGCTGGACCTCCGCGCCTTCCACCAATATTTTATCTGTGCCTCTGGCCTTGCGGAGGATCTCCTCCTTCAGGGGGAAGCTCTCCAGGCAGCATATTATGTCCCGGGCAGGGCCCTCAGGGGGTCCCTGAGGCCTCAGCGCTCGGTGCGCTCGCACGAAGCCTATGGGTGTCTGAAGTGGCCGGACCAGTAATTTGTTGAATAAGTCCATAAGTGTGTCTGGGATTGGCGTTCTCTTGTCCAATTCTTCAGGCACTCCCCTTACACGGATATTCTGCCTCCTGCCTCTGTTGTCTAAATCCTCCACATGTAGTGCCATTT